AGTCAGTCAAGGTGCAGTATAGCACTGATGAAACACACAACTTTCCTCTAGCTCTTTGGTGCTTCCTTCCCCCCACTATCATGACCTCAATTCTACCTTACAAATAGCATTAGACCAGAACATGTACACTGCTACAGATAAGAGCTGGCAACACAGGGAATCCAGGATAGATAAATCCCTCAGGGCCAACAATGAGAGAAGAGATACCAGGAGGATTAGGGGAGGGTGGGGGAGAAAGGGGGAATCTATCACAAGGATCAATTCAAAAACCCCTCCCAGGGGGGCGAATAACAAAAAAGTGGGTGAGGGACAATAAAGGACAATGTAAGATATGAAAATAATAATCTATAACTTATCGAGGGTTCTTGAGGGAGGGAGGATGTGGGAGGGAGGGGAAAAATGAGGAACTGATACCACGGGCTCAAGTAGAAAGAAAATGTTTTGAGAATGATGATGGCAACAAATGTACAAATGTGCTTGACACAGTGGATGTATGTATCAATTGTGATGAGTTGTATGAGCCCCCAATAAGATAATTTTTTAAAAGTGCTGAAAAACTCAGGTTATATATGAGCATATACGGTATAAGTACAATAACAGCAATAATACAAGCAACTCAAACCAAAAACTGGGCAAAGGACATTAATATACACTTCACCAAATAAGTTATTCAAATGGCCAATACACACGTAAAAGATGCTTAATCTCATCAGCCAAATGAGAAGTAAAAAACATAAAATACCATTTCATTCCCCTTAAGACAGCCAACAACCACTTGTCTGCTATTTTTGTCATATTGTGGAGGCATACATATTGCTGTGATATTGGAAGTGATGCTACCCATATTTCAAATACCAGCAGGTGCTTCCACACTATAAAGGAATAGGCTACCCATTTCTCAGGGGTTAGCCACCGAACATCATCAAATATAGTGCTGGAAGATGAGTCCCTCAAGTTGGAAGGCACTCAAAATACAACTGGGGAAGAACTACCTCCTCAAAGTAGAGTCAACTTTAATGAAGTAAAGCTTTTGGTATCTTCTTTTGTCGAATGGCAAAATGATAAAAAACAACTATAAACACTGATTAGTAATCCAAACATGTGAAAGTATGAATCTAGGAAAATTAGAAGTTATCAAAAATGAAAAGGAGTACATAAAGATCAGTATCCTAGGAATTAATGAGCTGGAATGAACTGGTATTGGTCATTTTGAGTTGGACAATCATGTGGTTTACCATGCTGGGAATGACAAAGTCAAAGAGTATGGCATCACATTCATTGTCAAAAATACTTCAAGATCTATAAATTTAGAAATTGAAAGAGTGTACGGCCAAAATATTCAATGATGTGGGGAGCATCAAAAGACAATAGAAAGAATACATAGTCATTGTATCAAAAATAGGTTGACCATTTAAAAGAGGTAGCATATGAACAAGAGTCAATAGTATTAAATATATCGAAGTTGCACTGAAAGCACTAGCCAAAAAATAAGGGTCTAGAAATTGGCAGAATACCAATTCCAATGTTTCTACAAATTGATGCATCAGGAGAGGCACTCATTTTTCTATGCCAGAAATTTGGAACACTGCCACACGGCCAATCAACTAAAAAATATACATATATTTACCTATTCCAAAAAATGTAGAAATTATTGAACAATATCACATGCAAGTAAAATTTTGTTGAGGATAATTCAGTACATTAACAGGGAGTTGCCAAAAATCCAGCCCAGATTCAGAAGAGGATGTGGACCCAGAGATACCATTACTAACACCAGATGGGTCTTGGCTAAAAGCAGAGAATGCCAGAAAGATGTCTGCTGTGTTTCATCTACTAAAAGCGACATGTGAAGTTGATTGTCATGAAGAATTTGTTGCCAGTAAGGGTTAGTTCAATCATTTCAAAGTGAAGACAAAGTTATATAACATTAAAGGGCAAATATGTGTTTCCTATAAATTGGCTGTTAGAAACCTGTGGACTGTCTGCATTCATAAAAGTAAAGATATGTAAACTTCCCAAATGCTCATCAGTAGATAAATGGATAAGCAAAATGTGTGTGCATGTATTCATGTGTAAAGGGCAAAGGGGCACAGTTAACAGATAATTCTAAAACATATCCAAATGCATCACATGACTGGATTTCTGGGTTTAAAGGATGAAGATCACAATATTGGGGGGCATTCTGGTCAACTGGCATAATATACATAGCTTCTAAAGTCATGGTCTACATCTTAATTTGGTTAGTAGTGTTTGCAGTCTTGTGAGCTACTATATAGGACAACAAATCCTGACCTCTACTTGTCTAGAGCAAAAAAAGGAAAAAAACCAAAGATTCAACAAAGAAACTAATATACAAAAGGGCAAGTAGTTTACATCTACCCTAAGACCAGAAGAATTGATGGTGCCTAACTACCACTACTAAACCTTCTAATCATGGCCAAAATAGATGGGCAGTGACCATCGAAAAAACATGTGGACTCAAACTTCAAATTCCAAAACTCTAAACAGATCTGGTTGACTGGGTGATACTGGAGGATACCTGGGGCTATTGCTTTAAGGCTCTTCAAACCTTGAACTTAAACTAATCTAAGATTACCTTGTAGAAAAATAACAAATTGGCTCAAAAAATAATGAATATCATATATTAGTACTGTCCTTTTAAAATCATGTATATGAGACCAAACAATGACTATTTCAAAACAAAGAATATAAGAAGGAAGAGAAACTAGATTAATGGAAATAGAACATCTGTAACAAAAACAATGAGAATGTTTACACACTGTAAAGAATATAACCAATACCACTGAACAATTTGAATAGAAATAGCTTAATGTAACCTAAACTGCTGTGTAAACCTTCACCAAAAAACAGTATTAATTTTTAAAAATACATTTATGCATAAACCTACCATTTTATATTACCTCCAGCACTCTAGCATAGCCTTGGTGACTATTCTCTGTCCTCTAAAGTATTTAATAGCCTCCTGACATTTCTTCTTTGTTTATATCCAATCACCACCCACCTACCACAGTATATGCACTGCACAGAGTGAGAGATCTTTGAAACGGTAAATCACCCAGGGCAGATGAACTGCTCAGGACCAGTGGTGAGAGTGGTGATACTGGGAGGGTGGAGGGAAGGTGGGGTAGAAAGAGGGAGCCAATTACAAGGATCTACATGTAACCTCCTCTCTGGGGGATGGACAACATGAAAGTGGGTGAAGGGAGATGCCGGGCAGTATAAGATATGATAAAATAATAATTTATAAATTATCAAGGGTTCATGAGAGAGGGAGGGGTGAGTGGGGAAGGAGGGAAAAAATGAAAACTGAGGAGCTGATTCCAGGAGGCCAAGTGGAAAGCAAATGTTTTGAGAATGATGAGGGCAACGAATGTACAAATGTGCTTTACACAATTGATGTATGTATGGATTGTGATAAGAATTATATGAGTCCCCAATAAAATGATTTTTAAAAAAACACTGTAAATCACACATGATGACTTTTATTATCTGATCTATATTTATTCACAAGGGTATTCCTATCACACAAAATATGCTAGCTCCCTTACCATACTTCAAACACTTCAAAGAACACATATGGGAAGCAGAAAACAGGAAAAGAGTGTATTTGGATGAATCCTTTAGTCTCATAAATCAAGAAGCCCGGGGGAAAAAAAAGAAGCCTGGCAGGCTGGGTTTCTGGGATCGAGGGAGGCCTTCACCCTTGTGAGTTGGAGGTGAGTCACAATCACATTATCATAATTAATATTGTTCCCCACTGTATCCTCCCATAATAGTGCTACCTTAAAGTTATCTCTTACAAGTTCATGGCTAATTGCTATCTAGACAGCAGCTTTAACTATGGCAACAATGTGCTATTGGTCTCTAGGCTCTGAAGACAGCCAGTCCCCCTTACCTGGCCCTAGCACTAGTGTTAGGCTACTCCTCCAATGTACTCAGGGACCTTTAAGGTTAAGTTATGAATGCAGTTACCTGTAATTAGGGGGGCTTGCATGTATATAAGCCTTAGTTGGAAATATATTCTCTCTCTCTGCATGGACCTGGCTCCTGAAATCTTGGTGGTCCCAGAGGTGAACCCTTGCATGCCTTAACTTGCCCGATGTCTCTTTAATTTTACCCCTCAATTACACAACCACTCCTTGGACACATTTGATTGTGAGGGCTGGTACCCCACAAACGCATCTGTATATAAGAAGTTCAGCATAGGTTCCCTCAACCTAGAATATTAAGAATGGACACAACTCACTCTTAACTTATTATTATAGTCTCAGCTCTACTTTGGAGCTCATCAGATAGGTATTTTCTGATCTCTTTGCCAAAACTGGCATATACCACCTTTTCCATATCCGCTTTAATGATTCACAGTACTTACCATCACCCAACATTGTGTGGGTGCGATATATGCACGTGTGTGCTGTGTTTTGCCCATCATTGTAATATGCAAAGAGCTATCTAAAAGTTTGTGGGGGAAAAAAAGATTATCTTTTAATTCCATTTTTCCATGATATTTTTGAAGGCCTCTTGTATACACTATGATAACAGGAACATTATTCTGTTAATTATCTGAAACATTACTAGGTTATAATGAATATTCATTATATATCTACTGAATAAATTATATGAATAAATATCAGCTAAAAATAGATCCAAAAACAATGATAAAGGGTAGATTATGTTCACAGCTGAAAAAGAGAAACAAAGAAGTATCTAAAATGAAACTACCTAAGTATGAGTTATGGGTATAGGTAAATTTCTCTCATATTTAAGAAAAAAAGGAAAGCATTTATGAGTGAGAATGGCATTGGGAGGACTGTGTTAGTTAACTTAGAGACATGAGTCAAATGTGTTTGCTCAACTTTCAAAGGTCTGTGGCTCAAAAAATATTTATAAAAATATTCCAAAGGTGGTAAACTCCTAATCCAATTAACTTTGATCTAAAATCCTCTGGATTTCATCTGCCTGAAAGCTCGCTAACACACCTGAGTGAGACGGGCTTGATAATCTCTCCTCTAATATCCAGGGCTCTTCTCCTTGCTCTATCTTGAAGATCACCTCTGGCTTAGTAACACAAAATCCTGTTAAGAAAAAAATAATAAAAAAATGATTTAAACGCCTTGGGTTCAGAGACTGAAAAAATATAGAACTTCAAGGGCTGCTCAAAGAATATGCCCAAATGAACCAATAACTGGGCAGAAAAAAAAGAGTTTTTTTTTATGGTAACAAAAGGGTTTAGTCAATTCAGAACCCAAAATCTCAAAGCTTCTAACCAGAAAATCTTACAGGAAGCCCACAAATTTCAGCAATGCATAATAGTTACATGGGGGAAGGAGATATCTTTACCAATTGAGACAATGTTGCTGTAATTTTCCAGGATCACATCTCTGTAGAGTATCTTCTGAGCCGGGTCCAAAAGATACCACTCTTCCTGGGTGAAGTCCACACATACATCCTTGAAAGACACCTGTAACAGCTAACAGCATATTCCTTTTCTATATGAATTGGTCAAAAGTATATGATATGTAAAAGACTTAATAGAACTAATCTGAGAGTTTATTGAAAAATACTATATAGAATGGAATATTATATACCTTGCTTTGTTTTATATTTTATAAGATAATAGAAAATATTTTGCACAAATTAGGTTTCACTAAGGGTCTAAAACTGTCTTACTTGCTGGGAATATTATTAAGGAAAACAAACAAACAAGATTTTTGTTCTAAAATAAGATTTGCAGGAGTTAGCAATATGTATAAAATGTACTAGAGTTAGAAAATGAAAGCTACTTCTATTTCATAATATCAAGTTAATTTCTATTAAGGAAGTAATTCCTTACTTATTACATTAAGGAGTTACTTCCTTAATAAAAATTAACTTGATATTATGAAATAGAACTAGCTTTCTTTTTCTTTCATATTATTAAAATTAGTAAGATTAAATGAATATATATATATACATATATATAATGAATATAGCACATGCCCTGACCAAGCGCCACCTGATTGAATTAAAGTCTCATGACTAAATTAATGTGCCCACATTCTACATACCTATCTCCACCCACTGTCCAAAAAGATGTATCTCCTCTGCTGAAAAAGATCTTTTTCTAGAGCTTCTATTTTTAAAACACAATGTCTGTAACAGATCAGTAACGGGAGGAAAGTAAAGTCACAAAACCCCTGAGGAGGCCCCAAAATAGACTTCTGGCTAAGAGAAGTTTCTGGAACCACCCAGGACCGGTGGGGAGATAGTCATAAAGGTCAGCAGACAAACCTGAAATTATGTATGCCTAATTTTTTAATGTGTGCCTTTTCTTTTTTCTTTTCTTGCTTTTTTTGTTTTGTTTTTTCTTTTTATTCAATCTTTTCATTTTGTTTTGTCTCTGTTATGGTTGATTTGCCTACCTATATAAGATAGGCATAGGAAGCAAGCCTGAGGAGAAAGCAACTGGACTGACAGTTCCAGAGGGACTTGGGGGGAGAAGGCAGGAGAAAGGAGCAGTGAGCAAACAACACCACAGGCAGGGGAACAACTAGGGAATTAAGGTTAACAACGAGGAGGACATAGAGATCCCAGTGGTGTGGAGCAACAGCAATCTAGCTGAGAGGAGTTACTAAGAGGCAGAAGAAAGGCAAGCATGATGGTGGAGCAGGAGGAAGGAAACAGAGGAAAAATCTAAGAAGCAAAGCTATGGATAGAGGTATAAACATAGGTGTGCACTTATGTAAACATATTAATTCATAAAAATAGAGGTATGAAATAAATATATGCCTATGTACATATATTTATATGGCAATACACTGAGGAAGTAGATGGACTTTGGGCCTCTGTTCAAACCCTCCCTCAATGCAAAAACACTTTGTTCTAACAACCTGTTATTCTGTGATGCTCACCCTCCCAACACAATTAGTGAAGACAAAATGGGTGCATAAGCAAATGTGGTCAGGAAAGCTGATGGTGTCCCACTATCAAATGATATAGCGTCCGAAGTCTTAAAGGCTTGAAGTTAAACAAGCAGCCATATAGCAGAGAAGCAACAAGCCACATGGAAGTAGCACACCAGCCTGTGCCATCATGAGGTGTTGAAGAAATCAGGTAACAGACACCAGAAGACTCCCCGCCCACCCCACCGAAAATAAAACAAAACAAAAAACATATTGTTGAAAATGAAAGGGGTTGGAGCAGAGAGACAAAAAATCCATGTGTAGACAATCCCCCTCACGTAAGGGTCACAGGGAAGGGATGAAGCAACCAGGGTGCAGTACAGCACCAATGAAACACACAATATTCCTCTGCAATATTCCTTTGGTTCTTTGAGGCTTCCTCAACCCCACTATCATGACCCCAGCCCTACCTTTCAGTTCTGGATAGACTGGAGCATGGCCACTGATTGAATATTGGGAAAACATCCCTGCCCAGTCCAGATCAAGTCCAAAAGTTCAATATTAGCCCATATTTCTGATACCAATCTATAAAGTCCTCTTCAGACTCACGAATGACGTGAATGCAATGACCCTGAATGCAGCAGGATCACAGGCCAGTGGGTTGGAAGTCTTGTGGATCCAGTGGCGTTGTGAGCATATCCGCAATGGCAGGCGTCTCTACATGGCTACTGCAGCTCCAGAGGTCTGGTTGCATCAGGCAGGTCCATGTGGTTTCTCCGGCTCTCAGGGCATAGCGCCATTTGTCTTGTCCACAGAGCGTCTCTCAGGGAGTGAGCAGAGAGAGAAAGAGAGTGTGTCTCCCACCTTTAAGGGGGAAATACAGGAGTTCCCAGAATTGTCAGGAGAAGGCCATGCCCAAACAGAGGTCTCATTGGTTATATCTTGATTCACAGGCCAGTCTCCCACCCCTTCACTCGTTATCCTCTCAAACTGACACCAGATTATGTAACTACCACATGGACCATGAAAATAGGCCCATAGATAATACAGATATTGGATGTAGTAAAAAAGAACTTTTAAATGAATTATTTTGTTTAACTATCACCATATCCATTCTCATTTTTTATTACCCTTTATGATAAAAATAATTTATGTCACTTAATTGTACATGTGAATGATGAAATGTTAATATTATGTGATATAATTAGCATAAAAATAAATAAAATCTAAAAATAAATGATTATTACTGTGTTCAACAAAACAGGAAAAGTCAAAAGAATCAGAGCATGCACATGGGTACAGATAAGAGCAGGAAACACAGGGAATCCAGGACAGATAAACCCCACAGGACTATAATGAGAGCAGTGATACCAGGAGGGTAAGGGAAAGGTGGGAGGAGAAAGGGGGATCCGATCACAATGATCTACATATAACACCCTCCCAGGGGGACAAACAAAAGTGGGAAGACAGCGGTCAGTGTAAGACATGAAAAAATAATAATAATTTATAAATTATCAAGGGTTCATGAGGGAGGAAAGGGGGAAAATGAGCTGATACCAATTGCTCAAGTAGAAAGAAAACGTTTTGAAAATGATGATGGCAACATATGTACAAATATGCTTGACAAATATATGTATGTATGGATTGTGATAGATGCTGTATGAGCCCCCAATAAAATGATTTTTAAAGATAAGAGAAATAGTATGTGTACTGTGCAGAAAAGAGCTAACATAGTAGACCTAAAGCAGGTATCATTTTAAAAACCTGCTAGAAGATCACTCCAAGACTGGTTATCTGAGAACCTGGATTTTAGGAGGATTCGCACCATTCCCTGCTAAGAATGACTTACTGCATTTAAACTATGTGTGTAAACTCTATGTTTCATCCGGAGCACATGAGTTTAAATAATAACCTGGAATTTTAGTACATGATAGGCGACCCCTACCATGGAGTTGATTCTGACTCAGTGACCCTGAGTAGGGTTTCCAAGGCACCAAATCTTTACAGAAGGAGATAGCCTCATCTTTCTCCTGTGTGCTGCTGGTAGGTTTCAATCACTAAGTGTTCGGTTAGCCGACAGCCACCTGGGTTCCTTACACACTAGGAATAAAGTGCCTTTGTGAACAGCCCCCGCATAAAGCCTAGGCACTGAATTTGCATTGCATTTCCCTAGGAAATGTTTCATACATGTCAAAGCTCATTGTTGGAAGAAACAGGCATACCCCATGAGACTTCATTGGGAGAGCACTCTTGGAAACTTGTGCCTCATTTACTATGGATTGTGGTCCACACACCTTTCTCTCATGATTTCATTTTGTATCTTTTCTCTGTAATAAATCATAGTCATGAGAAGGACTACATGTTATGTCCTATGAGTCCTCTTAGATAATTCCTAAATCAGGACGTGGCCTTGGGGACATCCAACACATGTGTACACATACACATATATGGACAAACACATACAAAAAATAGGTACTATAGAACTGAAACATAAAACATCCAATCATACTGTGCAACAAAGATCAAAACAATCCAAAATGAATATTCACCTAACAAAAGATTGTCAAATATGTAAGGTAAAATCTGATAGAACTAAAAGGATAAAGTCACAATCATAGTTACAGATTTCAACATTCCTGTCAATATCTGATAGACCAAGCAAGCAAAAAAAAAAATCTATGATAGAGATGGCCTCAGTAGCAATCCTAACAACCAACTTAATCTGACTTTACAGAAGACTCCATCCAAAACACAAGAATACACCTTCTGTTTAAACTCAGAAGGGGCATTCATATCAAGATGGGCCACATTCTGGGTCACCGACTATAGCTAACAAACTTAAAACAATAGAAATAATTTTGAAAATGCATGTTCAGATTACAATGGAATTAAATAAAAACCAATATAGTATGAAACCTCAAATATTTTTAAAGTCTATAATATGCTTACTATATAGCACATAGGCTAAAGAAGACAACTCAAGAACAATTTTACAAGAACTACTTTAAAATATTTTAAACAAAATAAAAGCGAAATTTCACTTATCAAAATGTGTGACATGCAGAGAAATGGAAAATTTAAACTATCAAATATTATAAAAGAAAATAATTAAATCAGTGACCTAGGCAGTCAGATGAATAAACCAGAAGGATGAGGGGCAATTTGGCCTTATGCAAGCAGAAGAATGGAAGTAATTTAAAATTTAATGAAAAAAATATTTAATTAAAAAGTAATTTAAAATTTAGAACATAAATAAAACATTGAAACAAAGATAAGAGCGAACAGTTAAACAAAAAGTTGTTTCTTTGAAGCTGATGGTACCTGGCTATCAAAAGATAGAGTGTCTGGGGTCTTAAAGACTTGATAAACAAGTGGCCATCTAACTTAGAAGCAACAAAGGCCAAGTGGAAGAAGCACACTAGCCTGTGTGATCATGAGGTGTCATGGGATCTGGTATCAGGCATCTAAGACCCAGAACAAAACCATACCCAAAGTGAACTGCGAGGGGGTGGGGGAGATGAAGTGGAAATCCAATGCCCATCTCTAGACAATTGGACATCTCCTCACAGAGGGGTTACAGGGAAGAGAT